TGTATATATATACATTATAACATATATACATACTTTTATAAATACATATATATACTTATATATGTATATATATAAGTATGTATATATGTTATAATGTATATATGTATGTGTGTATATATATATTATATATATATTATATATATATATAAATATATACATACATATCATATATGCATTATAATATATATTTAACTTATGTATATATACACACATATACATATATACATACTTATATATATACACACACATATATACATATATCATATATATACATATATATATACATAATATATAGACATATACGTATATATATATATACATAATATACATACTTATATATATATACATACTTATATATATACATACTTATATATCTACATATATACACATATATACACACATATACATACTTATATATATATACATACTTATATATATATACACATATATATATACATGTACATATATATATACATATATATATACACATATACATATTTATATATATACATATATACACATACTTACATATATACTTATATAGGCCTATATATATATACATACATATATGCATTATAATATATATACATACTTATATATTATATATACATACATACTTATATATATATATACATATACATACTTATATATACGTAGATAGGACTACATTCGTTGAGAGCTATGCTACACGATGTATTTATTCAGTCCTTTATTTGAACACTGTATTTACCTTTCTTTGATGATTTATATATGATTTAACAGTGTTAACGGCTACCTTGATTTATGTTATATGCACCTATTTGTTTCTAGCCGTACCTATTGTGTAATAGAGTGTATCTGGTGGTATTTGAATCTGTTCAACCATGAAGCCTCCGTGGTCTAGGGTTATGACACTCGCCTTGACAGTGAGAGATCGCAGGTTCGAGTCCCGCCAGAGGCATTTTATTACACAATTTCTTTATTCATTTATTTACAGGACTACATTCGTTGAGAGCTATGCTACACGATGTATTTATTCAGTCCTTTATTCAAACACTGTATTTACCTTTCTTTGATGATTTATATATGATTTAACAGTGTTAACGGCTACCTTGATTTAGATATATTTATATATACATACTTATATATATATACATATATACACATACTTACATATATACTTATATAGGCCTATATATATACTTATATATACACTTATATACTTATATATAATGTACACTTAAGTATATATAAGTATATATACACACACATAAACATATATATATATACATACATATGTATATATATATACGTATATGTATATATATATCAATATATATGTATGTATATATATATAAATATATATATATGTATAAATATATATAAATATATATATATGTATAAATATATATATATATGTATATATATGAAT